CTATCAACTATTCAAATTGTCCATCATCAATTATAATAATATTTCAAATAGTCTGTTTCTTTAGAAGTTTAAATCTGACTTTATTAATTTATTTAAAAAAAAAGAATATCAAACTAATTCCAAACCAAAAGGCTTGGTTTAATTTATGTTATGCTTTACATAGTTCTGATATTCCTTGCCACTTACTATGGTGGTGTGCTTTCTTTGTCACTAGGCTATGTATAAAATCTGAAGCTTGTTCTAAGCAGCAAGCTTTATTTGTTTTTATTCCTGATTAACAGGACTTTAGGTCAAACATGTGTCAAAGAAGCCATTTATCTTTACATGTTTATGAAGAAAACATGAAAATACTATTTCCATTACAGTTAAGAAAGAGACACCTACTAGACTTTGGTTTGTTTGTTTGTTGAGACAGACAATGTAGGATATCACTGTGGGTCTCACTACGTAGTTGAGGCTGGCCTTGAACCCACTATGTAGCCCAAGCTGGCCTTGAACTTGAAGCAATCCTCCCGCCTCAGACTCCCAAAGTGCTACAATTACAAGCGTGTGGCACCATGCTTGGCTCTATTTTTTTATATTTGTATTTTTTTAAATTTTTGTAAAATTTTAAGATAATCTATACAGAGAAGAGTATAAATGGACTCATCCATACCCTTAAACATGGCCCCTACTCTAGACTCCTAGAGACTATGTTTGAGTTTAAATACCCCAGTTGTGTGACAAGAAATTGTAGTTTTTTATAGTTAATATATCATTAAAAAATCTAGGCAGTGTTCAAATCTCTCAGCTGCATAATTTTTGTAACAGTTTTTAGAATCAGAATCCAAATAATGGCCATATATTTCAGCTGATTGTTGAGGTTTTTTGAGCCTCAATCTGTTAGCCCCTCCTGCCTCCCCAATACACTCTTTTATATTTGTTGAAGAAATTGACTTATCCTACAGAGTTTTCCGTAATCTGCATTTTGCTTGTTGCATCTTTTGATAGTTTTTTTTTCTTTTTCTTTTTTAACATCTTTTGGATCATATTCAGGTTTATTGGTTAGTTGGTAACAATACATTTTAGAAAATTGTATACCTATATCAGGGGGAAATTACAAAATGGGTTTTCACTCATATGAATATCAATTGATGATCATTTCTTAGGTCCTTTGTTTTTTTTGCAGATTGTGAATTCCTAATATTTTAACATTCTTTCTTCATTTATTGGCTAGGATATCTACATAATTGATTTAGTTACTCTGAGGTACAATTCTTGCAGGGAAGGCAGGATAAATTCCTGATATTTTTACATTCATATCAGTCACCAAAACAATGAGATAGTTTCCTAGTACCCTCCAAAGGTGAATTAGTAAGTTAGTTTATTTAAATACACTGAATTTATAGATTTAATTTAAAGACATTAATCCTTTACTATTATTAATCCATTACTATTATTATTGATGCTTTAATTGTTCCATTTTTGACTAATGGAATCCTCTTTGGGTTGGTTCTTGAGTACTTTTGACACAACCCTAGTAATCTTTGATTTTGGAAAGGATAAAATGTTCCAGAATTATCATCTGCATTTCTTACACCCAGCCTGGTAATTAGGCATTTCTCCAGTGATCACCGATTCATTTTTACAGACCATAATCTGGTTGCAGTAGTAGACTATTTGAGGTCATATAGTCAAAAGTAAAATAAGAAACAACGTATAAAGCTAGTCTTGGTCTAGTAATTTTCCATTTCTACAGAGATAGAATGTTAAAGAACAGTGTAAACTCAAAATAATGAAAAACCCGAAGGAAAATTTGACTTCAGTTTGTTCTGTTTTTGTAACAAAATTGACTCCTCAGATTAGGTTTTGGTAGACTTCATATGGCCTACTCTGGGTGCCTCCTCCATTTTATGTAGTGGAAGGTTATACTTCCCTCTGTACTGTTTTATTAAAACAAAGCCAGCTACCTATTAAAATTTCATAATAATATCACATCCATCCACAAATCAGTAAAAGTTGAATATATAGCCTCTTGTGTCAACTGAACAGTTTGAGAATACCACAAACAAAATGAAAAACTCTGTCTCACATGGAACACTTCTTTCTTAGAACACATTTCTTTATACATTAAAGAGTCGATGTGGAGAACTCCTTCTAAGATCTGAGTCTATTAATATAAAACTTTCTTTTAGCATTATCTGAATGGGTTTTTTTTTAGTCATTCTTTTTATTCATCAAACATTTATTAGCCACTCATTAGGTGCTAGACAATATTTTAGGTGGTAAAAATACTGAGAGGAGGGCCAGGGATTTAGCTCAGTGGTTCTGCCGCCTGCCTCTCAAGTGGAAGGTCCCGAGTTCAATCCCCAGTACCAAAAAAAAAAAAAAATACTGAGGGGAAATTTCCCAATTGCACCTTTCATGCCCTCCTCAGAAGAGGTATTTCCCTCACCTGTACTTTTTATGGGTCCATAGTCATAACAGTTCTAAAATGTACCTAAGTGTTTTCTAATCACTTCACTTTCTGAGAAGTGAAGCCCTGAGCATCATTACTGGTATTTGCCTACACTAACAACAGTTTGTAAATTTCCTGACGTTCGAGGAACTTTTTATAACTACTTTTCCTTTGACATGTAATTTTTAGTTTAAAGTTTCCCTTAGTTAAATCATTTTGGGTGATAAAATATAGAAATCAATTCAAATTCTGCATTTCATTTGCACCTTTTATAACTTCTCACGTTTAAAAATGTAATGGTACTTATGGTAACCAGAGTTAATGGAATGTACAGTATTTATCTGTATATTTTATTTTCTTAGGAGGATATAGATGATCTGCTTCATCACATTTTCTACACAGCAGTTTCATTTCAGTGATACCTTGGTAAAAATACAAACATTCATCTATAAAAATCACATTCTTTTAAAAAGTTGAATCTCTTTTAATTCCATTTATAAAAACTAGTCAGGAAATTGTATTAACATGAAACTGGATGGAAGGAAGCACAATTTTAATAACAAGAATACTTTTTTTAAGGAGATCAATTAGGTGTGTTTTTCAGTTTGCAAGGATGCCATTTAGGACAGCATATTTTATATTGTATAAAGAATTACTTAAAAGACATATAAATAATTACTTCATAAAGTTTATTACCAGGGATTTATAAGTGTAGAGAGAACCTGTTATATGATAAATGAAGATTCTAGCCATAAGTCCCATTATAATCCTTAAATAACATTCAGCATTCTTAGATTCCTACAGTGACAGGATAGAATGACTTGATGGTTATCACTCCTTACATTTTGTGATACTCTAAATGTTCAAAGTTATGTTTACTTTGTACAGAATACATATTTTCCCATGTGATTTTTGAATAAGTATGAATTCCCTCAGAAAAGAACTCCTTGTGTAGTATATATGGTATTAACCTGCTTGTATTTACTTACTTTTCACAGAATAGTTTTTCTTCTTTTTGCTACTTCCCTAATACCCACATAAACATCATTTTATGTGTATACATTTTGGTTGTCACTGTACATACAGTTTATCTTCACCTTATACTCAACTAAAGAATTTTTTTTCATTAGTACACATTTGTAGTACATTAATGATTACATTTCACTGTAGGGAATTGATATATGTACATAACACATTTTAATTCTTTTTTTCCTCCTTTTATCTTTCCAGTATCATTCATTTATCTTATAAGACTTTATGAAGTTAATTATCATATATACAGATTGAAAACCAGACTAATAAGCTAAAGAACATATAAAACCTGTAAGACAGTTGTTCCAAGTTAAGGTACACTAGCTTTTGTAACTGCCAACCAAAATATTTTTCACCACACATAGGCGTAAGCATGTTCCTCTATGGCTCCTCTGCCCCCAGGGGCTGTTGGGCACTTAAAATGTGTCTGATCTGAATTGAGATTTAAGTGTAAAATACAAACTGGATTTTGAAGACAGGGTATGAAAAAAGATTATAGAATATCTCAAATTTTTACATTGATTACATATTAAAATAAAAATATTTTGAATATGTTGGGTTATATAAAGTGTACTATTAAAATTAATTTCACTCTTTTTATTTTTTTTCAGTGTGGTTTCTAGAAAATTTTGAATTACATTGGGTATGGCTCACATTATGTTTCTACTGGATAGTGCTGCCCTGAGGCAGTGTAAAACTAATCATATAGGCAGTAAAATCCCTATGTTTGGATAACTCTATGGTCTGAACTACATGTAGTTGCTAGTTTGCCATGTGGCATGGAAGTACTGTAGGTGACTTGGGAGTTCACGTCTTTCTTGTACATGTAGACACAATCAGTGTCATTACAATGTCATGCCTGGTACCATCTGAAAAGGTTACTATTAACATTAATGAAACCATTGCCTTTGTGGTAGAATGCTATATTCAATATCTAATTTCTTTATATTATGAGGATTTAATATTATGAGGATTACTTTATAGATCTTTAACTGTTAGCTTTGTAAATGAATGTTACATATGAAATAAATGTTAATGAGGAAAACCTGGTTCCCTGCAATAAACACTAAGTTATGGTTTTACTACTTTAACTGATAACATTGTAATATGTATGAATATTAGAATAAGAAACTACTGATTCAGTTTTATTACTGTTGGAAGTATAGTTAATATAATCCACATTAAAATTATGACATACTGTACTTGTTTTATTGAAAATTTTAGGATGTATATAAAAGACAGCAAACTCCTACTTAAATTGAGATATATCAAAACAGGTTATGTTTTAATTTCATAATTTAGTATAAGTGCTATATATTACACTTACAGGTTTTTTTAGTACAAAGCATTCTTTCTAAAACTTTCTAGAGTTGTTTGAAATTCTCAAAGCTACATATTTTAACTTTCAAATGATGAACATTAAGATTATAATTACATCTTGTGTGAAAATTGTAACCAAGCAATAAAACACTTCTTTGATCACTAGAGGAAGCTTTTTTTGAAAAACACCAATACTTGTCTTAATTTTTAGGAAACCAGAATTCGGGCAATGGAAAAAGATGCCAAAAAAAGAATCCATAATTTCTCTGTCATTAACCCTCTTGCTGGACAAGCTACAACTCATATTTTTGCAGTTGACAGTAAAGCAGATCTTCAGCAGTGGATGGAAGCTTTCTGGCAACATTTCTTTGATCTTAGTAAGTAGATATTTGGATTTTCTAGTAGTGTATTCATGAATCCTGAAAGGTTACACACAGCAATCTATTAAAATTGTAACCTTAAGAATTTGTAAAAAAAAAAAAAAAGAGAGAGTTTGTAGTAAAAAATTTTGATGCACTTGAAAAAAAATTGGCAGTATATCTTCAGTGCATTAATCTCTTTTCTCCAAAGTGTCTTTCCAGTACCTGTCTCTCATATAGTATACCTTTGAATTCCTAGCATTGCTCTGGTCACTAAACAAGTAGATGACATTTTCTCAAAATACTAGATTTTGTCTTCTTAGGGCAATGTGTTTGATTTAAAAGATAAGAAGAGAGCTGAGGAGCAAAAATCTTTTCCAGGACAATGATGATCCTAAAATATTGAAATGTTCAGAAGAAGCCTCATTTTTATGTAACATGTAAACTCTAGATGTATTATAATATCATTTTGAATATGATTCAGAGTTTTTTCTTTTTTAATTTCACATATGATTTCTTTATCTCAATAACATTGTCGAATGGCATGGATTACAAAAAAATAGGGTGGCAGTAATGTATAGGGTTCTTTAATTTTCAATTTAAAGAATTTTTACCAATAGGAAAATATTTAAATTTAAATATTTAATTTAAAGCATTTATTTGTATTTACTGAAAGTAAATTTAACAGCATATTTGTTATGTCTGTAGAATGATATTCTATAGAATTACAAAGTAGAGCCATTTCCATACAATGAAAAGTTATTTCTGTGTCTCATAAAAATAATTCTAGAGACAATTTAGTGAATCTGTTTTCTGGAACACTATAAAGAGTTAATACCTTCAGGTCTCAGAATAATTTTTTACTCTCTGATTCATGGTTTTATCAGATATTTTAATGAAGATTGGGAAAGAGGCAAGAGAGACAGCTAAGTTTATTGATTACCTCCCATGAACACGATGCTTGATTTATTTTTCATGACATCCCCATGAGTTAGAAATTATTTCACTGTGCTCTAAAGCAAGGAAAACTGAGGCCTAAAGAGGTTTCTGGTTCATGACATTGAACTAGAGGAGGATCCCCTTGTGTAGTCTTAAATTCTTTAGGACTTGTTTTCCATAAATACCATCCCTAGGCACTCAATAAATGTTTAACTATTCATTCCATGTTTATCAGTTTGCAAAACATTCTTTATTTCAAAATTTCAGCAGATCTTAGACGGGTCACTTTAATGATACCTTCCTTAATGGCTAAAATTTTATTTATTTTATTTAGTACATGTTTGTATTACCTAATGATTACATTCATTGTGGGGAGTTGGTACACGTACATAACATACCTTAATTCTTTTTACTTCCCCTTCCCCTTGAGCTCTTCCCCCTCCCTCCATCTTTAGATCCCTCTCCCCTAATTCCTATTATCCATCCTTTACTTTGCTCTTTAGAACATTTATACTGTACTTTGGGATTTCTCATATAAGAGAAAGGATGCTATATTTAAGTATATGTGTCTGATTTACTTCACTTAATACTATGTCTCAACATGCATACATTTTCCTACAAATGACTCAGATTTCCTTTATGGCTAAGTAATACTCCATTGTGTCAATATACCACATTTTCTGTATGCATTTACTCTTTTTTTTTTTCCAAAATAAAAACTGTATTTTTGTTTTTCTTTTTTTTTTCCAGCTTTTGTTTTTGTACAAGAATTCATAGTTATCATATAAGAACTTACACACAGCAGGCTGTCTCCACTTTCCTCCTCCACTGTCACTGCAAGTCTGTGCATTCAGGCTGCCATCCCCAACACTGTGTTCTAATGAACAGATCACTGCATCTGATCTAGATCTATCTATCTATCTATCTATCTATCTATCTATCTATCTATCTATCTGTCTGTCTGTCTGTCTATCTATAGTACTTGTCTCTGGGAAAAATCAGAATTTTAATATGCAAACATTTATTTATAATACAGAAATGGAAAAACCTTCAGGAGGCACACAACCTAATTATGACTTGTAGGCGATAATTTCTAGATACTGTCCTACTGTTAATGTGTGTTTAAAATAGTCTCATAAGAAGGTTTTATTGCGCAGGGGATTTAACTCAATGGTTCCACCGCCTGCCTCGCAAGCCAAGGACCTGAGTTCGATCCCCAGTACCAAAATAAAAATAAATAAATAAATAAATAAGAGAAGGTTTTATTTATAGGTACACTTGGGTCCACCTTATCTCAAATACTGTACATGTCTGTGGACAGTCTGGGACTTTGAAAGTGCAGCCCTCAAGAAGTTGTTAAATCACTAAAAAGAAACAGGCTCTATTGGACAAGGAAAACACTCACAAAATTTCCAATTTTAAATTTCATATCAGTAGGAAAATATTAAAAATGTCTGTGTATACATATGGGTAATGTATATATTGAATTACACACATGTCTCACATTATCAATAAATTCAAGTGGAAACATTTTGGTGAGTTATTTTCCTATTAAATGACCATCTTGCCAAAATTGTAAAATATTTTATTACATCATTAAAATAACTCACTTACCATCTCAATAGCTTATATTGTTTAACTGCTTTCCTGAATACTCTGATCTGAAGAGTCTATCTTAATACACAAAAGGGTGTATTATTTTTAAAACAATTCTGATATTTTATACTTTCTAGATGAATTAAAACAGAAAGTACATGAAGATAATAATCCCAAAATATGAAGATAATAATGCCAAAATATACAATATTTAATATTGAGGATAGTTTCAGTTTCTAGATTATCTTAAATAATTTATACTAAAGTAGGGAGTTGGAAGGATAAGAATTTTATGATATTTTTGTACTATCAGTAAGAAAGTGATGATAACTTGGTTCTTGGATCTACTTCTTTGGTATTTAATACTTTTTAGGATAGAAAATGCAAATCTATGTAATTTTTAAAGTAAAAATTCTATTACATTTTTGAAGTATACTTCAAAATTCATTACATATGGAGATGAGAATCAAAGGTGGAAGTGTTTATTCTATCCTAAATATTGACTCTGTACTTTAAAATTTTTATTTTCCTAGTGACTGTACTTATTATGATCTTATTTGAAGTGTGGTGTATAGTATAGCAAAGTAGAGGAAGATAGCAAGAGTAAGACTAATTAAATATTTGGAGCACATTTCAACTCTCTGGCCACACTTAAGAGTGGAAAACCAGGAGGGTGAGATAATTAGAATTCATGAGGAAATGCTGATGGAAGCAGGCCTGTGTGGCCTGGAGAAGAATAGCAAAGGGTGGAGGTTAGGAGGCAAGGGGAACATAATTGCTGTTTGAAATATTTGAGAGCTAACAAACATTTAAAAGAGGAATGACATTTGCTCTGGAATGCCAGTAGAGATGGGGATGGAAATAGGAGATCAAAGAAACAGAGTTTAAAGACTTGGAGCAGACATCAGGGTTTTTTTCAGATGTTTAATATAAATACTCAGCTACATTAGCAGCTTAGCAAAATAGATCATTTTGACTGGGAACATTATAACATAAATAGTATTGTGGGCAGCTTCTTCCATATGTAGATTGGTAAGTGAACAAAACAATTCCATTTAATATTTCATATAGGTCTCTGTTTTCTTATTAGCATACTGGCTATCATATATACCTATGCATACAAACTTACTCCCTGGCAAAATAAATGTTTCAATTGTAACATCTTGACCAGTGAACATATCACATTTGTATATCTGACATCAGTAACTTGTAGAATAATGTGGCATTATGTTCCAATTTTCAATATGATTAGTATTCTGCTACTAGTTTAATGATAAAATGATTTCATCTATCAATATATAGAAAATACTATACTTTATAATAATTTGTCTAAGAATGTGACAGAAAAATATTTACCAGTTTAAAGTGAATCATTTCCTAAGGGCTTTTTCTTCCCCCTGCCACAAGAAGAAAAAACCCTGCCTTTTATTATATTTATCTATAAAAGGAAATGGAGGGAGAAATAAATTGTCAAATCTTAGATCCTACTGGATTTAAATTCTGGAGAGCAAACTTTGAAGCTTTGTACTCAAGAATTTATTTTCTCTTTGTATTGCCCTGTCAGTTATTTTGAAACTTTTACCACATTCTGTACTTAGCATCATAATAAAGCCCACTGAAAGGTCCTTTTTTGTTTCTTAACTTGTTAAGGTAATAGACTTAAAATTTATGCACATATTACCATTTTTCCATGACAGTATATTCAACCAGAAGCAACAAAAATAGATAATTTGACTTGACATGAAATATCTTTACTTTTTAAGCTATGGGAAATGATCAAGTTGAATACCAAATATGGATATTAAGGATAGAAAAAACCAGGAGAGATAGGTAGAGCATAAATCAGCAGCAAAACTTTTCTACTGGTGTAACACATAAAAGTGGGGGACCTCAATAACTTTTTTATTAATTTGTGGATACATAGTATCTAGCATAGATGCCATCTAACATGTGGATGCACAATAAATTTGGAAAAATTAAATTTTTTGATATCTAGTCAGGAGACAAATCTGAAAATTTTAAGATTAAAATAATGAAACATAATTAAAAGGAAAACTAATGTCTGTAGTTTAAATTTTTAACTTAATACTTACAACACCTTATTCCATATATTGCTTTTATCTTATTCCATATTTTTTTTCTTAAATTCTTTTATTGGTACATTTTAGGTATACAATATATTTACATTTATCTTTGGGATCTTGTACCTTTACATGATGCATCTTGGTTCTTATTTTTTCCCCATTCCCTGCCTTCCCTTCACCCCCTCCACCTTTCCCTATTTACAAAGACTTACTCCATTTTTTTAATGGCTTTATTTAAAGTGTTTCCTAAAATAAATTAGACTCAAAATTTTGTTGCATGATTTTTCTTTATGAGAAAAAGTTTTAATATATCTTTGGTGTAAGCAAAAATGCAATGTTTTTCTAGGGTTAGATGATTTCAAAAAGCATGATAATCACTTTAACGGTAGTTATTAAATCTTAATTTCTTAAGATTTTTAAATTAAAGATATTTTTGAGATTCACTCTTATGTTTTTTCTACTTGTTCTGGGCACCTATATTCCAGCTGACATTCACCTTTCAACTGTATTGAGTACTAGATGTTTTAATTTAATATTTAAAAGAAAAGAACCTGCACAAACTTTTGCCATGAATATAAATTTTAAGGCAAATTGTTGACTGTTTAGTGAAATAGTAACAACCTAGAGATCTTAATATTTGTGTGTAGAACTTTATTTTTTCAATAGATATGGGCAGAATTTGATCTTAAATTAAGAATAAGTTTTTATTTAAGCTTCCTTAAGACCATGCTTTATTTATAAATTCACTGTTATTTCTCAAAGCAAAACAGTATTGGTATCTATTAAAAATGAAATATATACCTTCACATTTATGTTTTAAACTAGCCTGGCTTTCTCTTTTTTAGGCCAATGGAAGCACTGTTGTGAAGAACTTATGAAAATTGAGATCATGTCACCACGGAAACCACCTTTGTTTTTGACAAAAGAGGCAACCTCAGTCTACCATGATATGAGTAAGTGGGGTTTATCTTTTCTAAGCTGCAGGATGACAAAAACAACATTGTCCATGCTCAAGCAGCTTATTCTATTGACATTAAAATGCTAAAATTTTCAAGGCACAATCAAAGTGAATAAAAAGAGACTATGATTATAAGCTAAGGAACTCATGTTTAATAGATGAATTAATGCAAAACTAATGAATGCACATTTTTCCTAGTTTGAATGCTCTAAATCAGACAAAAATTTTAGGGTTTAAAATGAATAAAGGTCACTGAAAATAAGTATTAGCTGAATAGTTGATAAAATTCTAAGAATATAAGTTTGCAGATTCTAAAATGTAATCATGGTTAGAACATTTTCCTTTTTTTTAGTTTTGATAGATAAATATTAGTAAATGGAAGCTTTCCTCTCTGGTCAAAAATAATGAAGTCTAATAATTTAGAAAATTTTAAATTTCTTAACCTATTAATATTCCATTTTCCCATACTTTCAAAAGGTGTTTGTTTATCCTTGTGGGATTGCTTTAGTGAATATTGTTATATGTAAGCACAAGTCAACAGCAGCTTGTAATCTAATTTGCTACTAATGTACCTGCACTTACATATACTTTAAAATGTTACATTAAAAATTATTTGTTTAGGTTTACACATTTGAAAAATACCAGTAATTCATTCAATAGACATTTATCTCTGCTTCCCTGTTTTTTCCAAGAAAGATTTCATCCAATACTGTTAACCACCAAAATGTTGTGAGGGCTTCACAGTCTTCACTGGGATTTTGATTTGATGTTTTTTCTTTTCTGTTTTGTTTTTGTTTTTTCACTTTATCAGAGACTTTTCTGGTCTACAGGAAAGAATACTGATTGAGTTATAATCATCGTAGCTTGTCCATCAAGCTTTCCTAGAGGTCAAAATAAGGTTTCAAATCCCAAAAAAGTTATCTAAAAGATTCTTAATCTATAGAATTTTTTAAAGTACTCATATCTCCTCTTTATTTTGGAATTTTTTATACATGTGAGTGTGTGTTATGTGTAGTATATATTTATACACTATGTACTTTATATGCACTAGCTATTATGTGTATAATATATAATATGTGTCTGTAGTACAATGAATGACATCTTTGGGTTTGGGTTCTATTGATCAGTTATTCTTACAAGTAAACATTTTATTGGTTACCCTACTCTAAGGTTTTGATGGCCATTATAGATAACTTATTAGTTTGAAAAATAATAACTTATTCAATTAAAGTGCAAGCTCTTGAATTTTTTCCCATCTATTTTTTCCCTTAAAATTATTGCAGGCATTGATTCACCTGTGAAACTTGAAAGTTTAACTGACATAATACAAAAAAAAATTGAAGAAACAAATGGACAGTTCATTATTGGTCAGGATGAAGAGGTCTCACCACCTCCTTGGGCCTCAATATTTGATGGTAATCATAAAATGGTTATCCAGAAAAAGGTATTGTCCCCTGCAAGCGAGCAATTACATGACGGGAAAAGGAAAAAGAGACGAGCTCCCCTTCCTCCTCCTGATAAACTTCCATTCAGCTTAAAAGCACAGACCAACACAGATCAGTTGGTTGAGGACAACTGGGGAAAGGCAAGTACATTGCAGTCCTTGCCTTTGGATACCAGACTATCAACCCTGATGCATCACTTACAGAAACCAATTGCTGCTCCTCGAAAACTTCTTCCTGCCAGGAAAAACAGTTTAACTGATGGTGAGCACACAGACACTAAAACCAATTTTGAAGCTAAGCCAGCGCCAGCTCCAAGGCAGAAATCCATCAAAGACATTTTGGACCCTAGATCATGGTTGCAGGCACAAGTATAGAAAACCCTTACTGTATAAAACATTGAAGAGAATGTAACTGTGAGGCTTAATTGATAGGCATTGTTAATGTAGTAATGTTATATAATTTTATAGGTAAATATAGTAGTGATTTACATAAATAATAAGCTATTAGGTATAGAAACATTTTTTATGGTGAAGAAATAGATTTTTCTTTTATTTCTGATTTTCAGAATGTAAGTGATTTCCCCATAGAGTATAAGAGGCAGTTTCTAGACAATATCCTAATTGTTGGAAGGGTTAATTTATTCCTAAATTAGTACCAAGCAGTGAATAAGCACTAGGCAGAAGAAAGCATTAACATTTCTTTTGGGGAGAGACTGTCTAGTAATTTAAAATGTGTTAAATATGAGCCATATTCTCATGGTGAGAATTTAAATACTAATGGAATGTTTCAAAGGTTTTATTCAAACCACAAATTATAGAATCCACCCAAGAAAATTTTCTTCTTAACATTCTGGAATTCTCATCTAATGGTTCACTGGCTCTCATCTATTGTTTAACTCACTAGTTTATAGTCTTGACCTTTTAAATTCCTGGGATAAATTTTGGAATATTAAATTCTTTGTGTTTAAAGGGAATTTGTAATGTGCTATTCAAAGTCGTTTCCTTGATGAACCCTGAAATCCTGTTGACATTAACTCTCATAAGTGAAGCATAACATTTATTAGTTCAGAGAAATGGTAGATGAAATGTTCTTTGCATCCACTTTTTTGTGTGTGGTACTAATTTCCATTATGACTTTGCAATTTCAGGAAAATTCCAAAGTAGCTGATTAACACCTTAAAATTTAATACTTATTTGAAAAACAGATGGCAGATTTAAAAAATCATGAAAGTTGGCCATGGTAATAATTTTGGATTTAATCCTTTTAAATTTTTTAATTAGTTTCCTTTTTCTGGTAAGGGTTGATATGTGCTATTGATATTATTCATTAAATTCATATTCTTACAGCAATAACATGGGAATCATTTCCATAGGAGGTAATTTCCATAGCAACTAATCATAGTGACCTAAACAGGATTATGAAATCAAGTGAGGAATAAATAATAAGAGGATGAATATCAAATAAAAGAATTCATTTTTTTATAACAACACTTCTTGTAAACAAGACGGAAATAGTTTTTAAAAATCTAATCAGAATTTCCAAATAAAAGTTTCCATAAGGTGTCAGCAGCAGCACTAAAAATATCAAATCACACTGAACCCTAAATGTCATTGCAAGTAAAAATATAAAAAATTACTGCCCTGTGTATAATCTCTGGAGATCTTTTTAAAGCTAGGAAGAGCTCTATTTGGATCAGAGCTACATTATTGCAAAATAAAATGAACACTTGACCAAAAAAAGATTAATTTAAATGAAGTCTTCGTTATTTTTAGATAGCGCTCTTTTTTTTTTATTTGTAGAGCATGATGTAACTGCCAGATTACTTAGAACCTGACAAAAGATCTCTTGCGACTAATGTCACCAGGGCAGACATAGCATTTAGTGAGAAGAAAGTGACCTAAAAAGCTCATTATTTTTTCTACTGGAAGGGTCTCATAAATTTCTGTTGTGATTGCCATTTCATTAAATGATATATTCAAAACCTAAAGGACATTATTATTTGAATTTTTTACTTTTTAATATCACTGCTGTTATTGACACCATTTATGATTGTCATTGCCACTAAATTTTTCAGCTAGAAGATGCTGCAGGCAAAATTGTTTCTGATATTGGCATCTAAGCATTCCTTCTTTTTTTCCTAATTGATGCTTTCCTTTAATACAAACCAGTAGTAAAACTTCAAATCATATTTCTCCTGATGTAATTATACAGAAAGAATTTAAGTTGTACAGGAAAGACAACTTATTCATTATCTAGCAGTTGTGTTCTCAGAAGGGAACTTTTGAACCAGGTCTGAAGTCCTTCCTAGAACCATTCAGGTGAAGCCTGCTGGTGCTCCACCCCATCCCTGCTCACCCCCACTTCCCCACATTATTCTATTTCTGGGAACTCATCTTCCCATATATATGTTAGAGTCTTTAAAAATCAGCCAGCAATCTTCAGCTGCATCTTTTTCTTATTAATTATATTGGTACATTTAAGGTATACAATATAATGACATTCATCATTGGAAATTTGCATGTTTACATAATCCATTTTGGTTCTTATTTTTTCCCCATTCCCCTGCCCTCCCTTCAACCCCTCCACCCCTCCCTATCTACAAAGACTTTGTTTCCATTTTTTCTTTTTTCTCATATAAATTCCATTCTTTTCTTTCTTTTCCCCTCCCCCTCCCATTTCCCTGTCTTTTGATTATTGTGCCCATTAAATGATAGTTTACCTGCCCCCTAAAAAGGAAAGTTATAATACAAAGTTGGATTTTGTTTCTTCTTTCTCTCTTTTCTGTCTCTCCCACTACCATTTTCCTTCTTTTACAGTGTTAAAAAAAAATCTAAAAATACCGAGTTAAATGCTGTCAAGGTGTTCATCAGAAATATTTGTTTTCTTATTTTCTGAACCAGAAGTTACGATAGAAATATGCCATGTAACATGAAAGGTTTCTGCTTTTTTATGAGCTGGCTTTTCACATTCCTTGTTTGCCTTTTTAATTTGTCTCTGGATGTATAAAGACTATAAACTTGAAACAGTTTGCTGTCATGTCTTTATATTATAATTAGAGAAGCATATAGGAAAAATAGATATTTTATGATATAATTTTGATAATTTGAAGATAATGTCTTAGACAATTATATTTACATTTCAAGTTCTAGAATACAAATTTCTTACAATAGCATTTAAGATAGTATTATTTTTAATTGCTACAAAATAATTATTTTAACATCTTGCAAGGACAAAGAATATTTTTCATTATAAATGCACATTTCCTAAGGTAAATATCAAGCATGACAGGCCTTGCTGAGTTTTGTTAAATCCTCCTTAACTCTCTGCGTTGCCCCCAAACTTCTTTTAAATGGATGTGAATGTATCTGGAAAACTAAATCCATTTATTATAAAGGCCTTATCTTTACCCTTTAGAATACCATTAAATAACACTCTGGTTTCTCTTCAGATCATATAAATCTTTCGGCTTTTAGAATACCATTAAATGTATTTTACCTGGTACTATTTATTAAAAATGGAAGCTTCCGTGATTTAGAGACAACTCATGTAAGGTAGGTTAAGCAGTCAAGTATTTCTTTAGGCTTATGGGCAGCACCTCAGCCACCTACTGTGAAGTTAATTAATTCAGTCCAAAATGAAATTATAGGGCAGTTTGGTGCAGTTATGTTAAATGCCATTCAAATGTAATCATCTGTGTTACCACAAATGAGAAAAAACCATATTAGATAGAAAATGCTATACCAGGAACAAGAAGAAAAATGCTTTTGCAGGAAAAAAAATCTCTTCCTCTGGTCAGAATTTGTCAAAACTCAATTGCTTTTTCAAAGAGTGAATTATTGAACAGTAATTAAGCTTTAATTAATCATCATTTATGTTCTAATAATTGTCCTCATTGTTCTATTAGTCTTAAACTATAATGTAAATAGAGTTAACTTTCTGACTTACATTTCAAGGCATTATTCTTTTTAAATGTTTACATGTTCATATTTACTTCATTATAATAATAGCCATATGAAAACTATTCTGGATTATGCATTTTCCTAGTTAATCCTGGGAAAAATATTACCTTTTAGTTTTTAAAAGACAGAATTTCATTTGAAAATATACTAGGGTACTGTTTTCTGACATGCTTGTGTAATTAGCATTGTTTACAATTTTGTTAATGTGTATAAAATTTCTGGATTAAAAGGTACTAATTGTATCATAGGCATATTTGTTTAAGCATATTTGTTGAGACATATCTGGTAAAGAACCCTAAGTCATGTGATAAAGAGTTCTGCACATTACAGAAACTGATTCATGACGATATTTTCTAACATATTTCCTTAGAATCTTCTTCTGAGCTAGACTGGTAGAAGTAGACAGTATGGTAGAATCATTTTAGGGAAAGACTTATGTAGTAGCTGGCTACTTCTTAGAAGACTAATGCTCTGAACACCTTGGCATACTTAACACTTATTTAATTGTTTGTATATTATCCTTCTTAAAGTGTATGCAGTCTTAAAAATCCTTTGATGTAACCTTATTTTGAGGTCAGTGATGTAGAATTTCTACAGAGTAAGTCACTGTGAAAAGCAATTTGTGTACCTAGTATATTCAGTCACTGTTAGACACAAGGAGACTTATTTTAATTCACCTCCCTCAGTAATGATTTTTTTTTTTCTCGTGGAGCACTTAGGAAAGGGAGTTGGAGGTTGGCACAGGAATGACCAGCCCTAGCTCAGTTATATTCAACATTTACTTATAAGTCTGTAGTATGATTAGAAATATTTGACATTTCTTTTTAGAAAAAAAAACTTTCCTTTCTCTAAAGAGAGGAGCTAATCAGTATACTTAGATAAACAAAATACCTTAAAGTTCAGTTAAGAAAAAGAAAAACTATTTCAGAAATGTTTAAAATATTTTCCTTTTTCTGAGTATAGGAAAAAATAACAATCCTGACGTGTTTGATACTTAAGTAAATTATACTGAAAATTGTTTTTCAGTTGCAATAGTTTGCTTTTAAGAGGTATGGGAATCTGTTAATGTAACTATTAAATGAGAAAAAGGTTGGAAAGATTATATATATTCATAATCATGCTGTATCACAAGCATTTTTCAAGATCAACATAAATTTTGTTGAAAGTGGATACTTTTCTTTGTTATTTCAAAACATTTTTGGTTTTTGTCTATTGTAAAGGAAGCACATTTTCTTTTTTGTGAATAAATAAATTTTTTAATTTGCTATCTTAAATATTTAATGTAATTTATTATAGGAAGTTTATAATTTTCTTGTAGAAGAAAAGGCATAATAATTATTCATTTAACCTCAAATACTAAAACATGTTAAATACATACAAAATAGAAAATGAGATAATATATGCATACATTTCATAAAAATACTCTGATTCTTCAGGTATTTTCATTTCATTTTAAAAGATTTTTTTAAAATATGCTACTAATGGTAGTGGAGCAAAGATCCAGCCCCTTTCCACAGTTTACAGGAACCATTGCAAACCAGCTCCTACCTACCACACTATAAGGCACATTGTACAATTGCTACTCTCCTCTCATAGGTGTTGCCTCCACAGACTGTCATTTCTGCTTGTTCCTCCTTTTCTTATGCTATGCTGTATATGCCCAGGATCTCTCTTTTCTTTCTCTTCTTTATGTAAACTTCCCTCTAACCACTATCAGCAGTCAACAAATTTTGGGTTTTCTTCCAAATGGTAGCTCCTTTAAATTCACCAGTTCCCTCTTCTACCTAAGTTGAGTTATATTTGTTTTACGTGTGTGTGTATACATAAAATATATGTGTGTGTGTATGTATATAATCTCTTATTTATATTTTTGTATTCTCCTGTGTTTCTGTGTTTGTTTCCTGATTGACACATTACTATAAACTTAACTAGTTAATGGTACTTCAGAGGTCTACTCAATAGGAGAGTTTTAAGATTTCAGTAGGCAGAAATCAAGGTGTTAGCTGGGCTAGACCCTTATCTGGACATTCTGGGGAAGATCTGCCTCTCCTAGCTTATTCAGATTGTTTGCAGAATTCAGTTCCTCGTGGCCCCTTCAATCTCCAAAGAAAACCACAATTCCTCTCGTCTTCTTGCATGTCAAATCTCTGATTTTTCTGCTACCAGTGAAAGAAAGTGCTTTGCTTTTAAAGGACCCGTTAAATGAGGGATGCTCATCAGGATGATCTCCCTTTTGATTAACTCAAGGTCCATTGCTTAGTAACATTAGTTACATCTGGAAAGTTTTTTTGTGCGTGATACAATCCCATATGTGATACCATACCATATTTGAAGTGCCTTTTTGAATTCTGCCCACCATACCCTGTTAGGCAAGGAGCTTGTTTATTGAACGTTGAACCCTATCATAGTGTATTATAATGACAGTATGGATTGCTGAATATTTATTATGTGTATATATTTAAGATACTATGCCAAATATTTCAATAAACATTTTGTTTGTTTTATTTTTTGGTGGTGACACTGAGGATTGAACCCAGGGCCTTCACACTGGGCCACACACTCTCCTATTTTGAGATAGTCTCACTAAATTGCCCAGTCTGGGCTTGAACTTGCAATCACTTCATCCTCCCAGAGTGCTAGAAATGAAGCAACTTATTTAATCATTGCTGTAACTTCCTGTTAACACACTTAACAAATTTAGAAGAGTAGAGAAGCCTTGCCCTGGACATACTGCATAGTACTTGAGTATGGATTCTGGAATTTGACCTTGGTTACATGCCAGTTCTGCCACGACTTAGCTGTATGATGGGGCTGGATATTTTCTTCTTTAACCTCATTTGGTTTGTTTAAATCTGTAGGATAAAAATAGTACTTACCTCATAAGAGAGTTGAGATTAGTAAGTAAAATAATCCATGCAACTCATAGCTCTGTGCTTGGTACTTAGAGTTCTTGCTTTATTTTTATACCACAGCATAAAGTATGTAAAAATATATATAAAGAGAACATAGCTGATTGATACATATATACTCAATGAAAATTGCTTATAACTCTGCTCAGTTTCATTTTTTGCTCATTGTGAACACATTGGCTTAATAGTACATAAAACTTTAGGAAATACCTAAAAATATATCCAAATACATATTGTTCTTTCTGTCTCAAACCCTATATTTTGCACTTTTGACTTAAAGAATACATATTGTCAAGATGCTCACATTCTAATGAATAAGACCAACCATAGTAGAGAATATTGAGATGAATTTCTGCTTGACCTATCTCCCATAAATTTAACATAAATCTATCTAGATGCAGACATTTAAAACAATATATACCATAAGGAAATAAACTGTGAAGATTATAGAATATATAAACCAGTATGGACTACATAAAACAGTAGCCAAGGGCCGGGTATTTAGCTCAGTGGTTTCGCCACCTGCTGCGTAAGCGCAAGGACTTGAGTTCAATCCCCGGTACCAAAAAAAACAAGAAACAAAAGCAGTAGCCAAACAATTAAGCACCTAACTTTAAGTACTCTGAGTGATCAGAGAGGCAAATGAGAACTTTTACAAAGCAATTTTTCCATTATGTTCAAAAGGCCTTACATCTTTTTACTATAAAAATAATAAACAGTGTAAAATTATATTCTATGGCTATATTGCAATGATGTCAGGACACATTATAATAGGATATTTTAGGTCTTAGAGGTTTGAGTAAAATAGACCATTCACTGGGTTCCTGGAGTTTCAGCAATCAAAGGAGCTTAGTATCATGGAAGTTGAGGAAAGGAGCCACAGCTGGATAGGGCAGGTAACAGGGCAAAAATAGAATTAGCATATGTTAAGGTTCAGATTAAGATGGGTAAAACAAGTTGGAAAGGCTGAAGCAAATGTAGTGATTAATGTTATGGTTAATCTTCATTATCAACTTGATTGGCTTGAGAGATGCCTATGAGATTAATAAAGCACATTTCTGGTTAGGTGGATCCTGGGTAGGCCATAGGGGCATGAGCTAGGGAACTATATCTGGCCCTTGGTCCCTGGCCCCTTCCTTTTTTGAACTCCTCCTGCTCTTTTCCTGGCTGCCATGAGGTAGGCAGCTGTCCTCCACCATGCCCTTCTACCAAGATAGTTCTGCCCTGGAACCCACTGACCATGGACTGAAACTAGCAGCCAAAATAAACCTTTTCTCCTTTAATTTGTGTATGTCAGATATTTTGTCCCAGCAGTGAAAAGGTGACTCATACATAGAGGAAATGTAGGATAGTTTGGACCACATATAGCACCTTGAATGCCAATTCAGGAAAATAAGACAGGTGGGAAGAACATGCCGCTTATAAGTTGAGGAAATCAGATTCTACTTCCTGGTTACTAATAGACAAAGCCTTGTTTGAGCCCAGCCTGGGCAACTTAGTAACTTAGCTAAGTTGCAAAGGCCCTGGATTCAATCCTAGGATCCACAACTCTCACAAAAAGACTGAGAGAAAAATATTGTTATAGCTTATTAGAACAGTGTTTTAGAGTAGTACTTTGAGGATACAAAATTAATCACTACTTTATTGTCTAGAAGAGTGGGTCTCAATAAGGGGTGATATTGCCCACAGGGAACATTTTACAATGTCTAGAGACATTTTTGACTCTCATAACCAGAGGTAGAAGATGCTGCTTGCACCTGATGGGAATAGGCCAGGAAAGCTGCTTAACATCCCGCAGTGCTCAAGACAGCCCCCACAGCAAAGAATTATTTGGCCCAAAATATCAATAGTGCCACTGTGGATAAACCCTGGCTTGGACTATACAGTATGTACAATATTCAATATAAAAAACAATAAATGTACTTTAAAAAATAAAGATGATTTTATGAGAATACAAAGAAAGGAAAACTCTTGGGAGGAATTTAAGATGGCTTTTTGAAGGAAATAACAGTTGATCTGGGTCTTGAAAGGCTTGTAGGATCAGGCTATGCTGATATGGAAATGTCATTCTGAGCAGAAGGAATTAAATGAGTAGTGAGACAGGAGCACTGTGGTGACTGACACACTTCCTTTAGAGATGGATCCTAATTCTCATATCTTTGAATATGGGCTTGACTTTATGATTCCATTCTAATAGAATATAGTAGAAATGATACCATGTGATTTGTTATATTAGGTCATTAAAAAGATAACTTATTCATAGCTCTCCCAAGCTATACCCAGACAGTCATGGGAGAGTCCCATTTAGAGAGGAACCGAGGCCTCCAATAACCAGTTCCAACTTGCTAGTGAATCATGTTGGAAGCAGACACTGAAGACCAGGCATGACTGTACCCTCCTAGGAAATTCCAAGCCAGACCACATGGTTTAGCTGCACTTAAATCCTTATTCCATAGGCTCTGATAATAAGATGATAAATGTTTACTGTTTTGAACATTAGGTTTTGAGAAATAAAAAATATTTCCACAGCAATAGATAACACTAAAAGGAATGAAAATATAGTGTATACCCAAGCACATTAAATGGTTTAGTTGTGGATAGTTAGAGGTGGGGAGAAATAAGGTTGCCTATGCAAGTGAGGTCAGATCATGGAAGGCCTTGAATGTTAGGCTGAGCAAACCTTCTGCCTTTTATTTAGAAATCTGCTCTGAGGGCCTTAGTCCATCTAGATCACATCTTTTTTTTTTTTTTTTTTTTTTGAGACGTGGTCTCATTATACAGTTCAGGCTGGCCTTGAACTCACTATGTAGCCCAGGCTGGCCTCAAAATCCTGGCCATTCTCCTGCCTCACCCTCTTGAGTGCTAGGATTACAGGCATGTACCACCACACTCGGCCAGATTGCATCTTTGACTGGTTCTCTGTTAGAGAAAGAATGGCAGAGAGAGGTACAGACAATATTGGGGATTGTGTGAGTTATTCAATTATCTCTAATAAAAGAAAAAGTGGCCTGTAAATAACATCACTACATAGGACATTCTTGGCAGACAGGACCTTTGTTTTAATTTTTGTGTTTTTTTAGACATTCTTTGTCAATCTAAAGATGCTAAGAAGATCCAGTCTCCTCTGACTTTATAAAGAAGAGACTTCATTATATATCCAGGTCACTAAAGTTACACTATTGATATGTCTTACCTGCCAGCTTTTTTGCAAGGGGAGAGTGATTTATTAACATCCACCTGTGACATCTTAGCATGACTGAGATTATCAAATTCTCTTTGTAGCAAAAGGGAAGAAGAGGCCTGAAGGG